ATAAATTGTTATATAATTATAATATATTATATTATATTATATTATTTCACTATATATTTATTAATTATATATATTTAATTTCTATTGTAACATTCATACATTTTAATTTATTTGTTGACATAGAAATTCTGACAAAAATAGCGGTACAAATATTTATTCATCTAATCAATTAATTAAAGGAAATAAAAGATATTTACAAAATATAAAACGTATTCATGAAATGAATAATCGAGATTTCTGGAATTCTAAAAATTTGCGTAATAGAAAAAGTGATTTTAATAATAAAGATATGAATAACGAAGATATGTATTTCAATAATGATACTAATCAAGAACAAGATGTAAGAATTATAAATTATTCAAATTAAATATTTTATAATTTTTATATGATTGATATAAGATTAATTATATTATTTTAATATTTCATCTAATTTGTTACAGTGTATCATACAATGTTTTTTTAATGAATTAAATGTCGTAAGTACATTGAACTTAAAATAAAAAAACTTATCTTATTTTATTTTATCTTAATTATAACTGCATAGTAAATAATAGGTTGATCAAAAAGGATTTCCAGAAAGAAATTTAGTAATTTCATTAATAAGTCAAAATATTCAAAATCCAGAATTGAAGGATTTTATTGAAGAATCAATTATAGAATGTTTTCATTATCTTGAATCAAATAAACGAGAAAAGTGTGAATTCTCACAAAATTTATTAAAATGTTTAAGTGAAAAAGGACAGCAAGTAAGTTCTAAATTATTAAAATTTGTAGTAATTTATAATATATTTTTATAATTTTAATTTCATGAAAAATAATTTTATAAATCATATATTTTATTTCAGAATTGCGAGGATTGGAAAAATTAAAAAATATATTTTTATAGAATTATTTTAAAAATGTCTAAATATTTATATAATTAAATATGCAAAATAGTAAAATTTGAAAAAATACTTGAAAATATCTTAATATTTTTATAAATCTATAAAAATATTTGATATTAGATTTAATTAATTAAAATATTATTTTACTTATATAATACTTTTATTTATTATAATATTTTATTTTATTATTATATATATTATATTTTACATTTTTCTTACAAGGAATTTCTAATTTTTAAATCATATCTATTGAACTTCTTTTCCACCAAAAGTCAGACTTGGATTAGTCAGTCCTACTGTTTTTTTTCGAGGAGCTATACTTCCACTTTTAATTAATCGATTTTTCTATTATGAGCAAAACAATTATTAAACAATAAAACAAAATATATGAAATATGATTGTAAGTGATTGAAAAAAATATTATCTAATAGTAGAATCATGTGACTCGCGAAGGAATTCTTTAAAGGAGTTTTGTGTGGAAAGAGCCATCCTTATAACTTTTTTTTTCAAACAAGTTTTCAAATAGACAAAGAGACATGAAACACAATTACTCGCGAATTCATCTCTGTTTTAAATTATAATATTACAACATATAATATTACAACATTATAAAAAATATAATAATATAAAATTATTTCAATAAATCATTTATGTACAAACTGCAAATTAATAACATATTTGACAAAATTTATTTATAAATTCATAATAGTCATCTGTTTTAACATTAGGCTTAGATTTTGCAGACAAAACATTGATATTAATAGAATCAAAAAATAAACAACAAAAATTAAAGATTTCATTTATATAATCTATTTTCATACATATATTGTAATACAAATACACAAATTGAAGATACACAGCAGAATTTGCACAGTATGGAAATGAGCAGATTCTTTTTCAGTTAATGAAACTACATAATTAACATTTAAAATCTATTTTATCTATAAAATATATTATTGATAATATTAATATTCATTTTAATAAAAAAAAAAATTGAATTCATAAAATGATTTTTATTAATATTTATAATATTTTTAGTATTTTTTCTAATATTTGTATTTCAGAAAAAATAACATAGATGTTAAATGTTTATGTTTTTATTTAAAATTTAAGTTGAAATTGCAGGATCTGTTTGATTCTTATTATTTTTCTACCATCAGAATGTTTTTATAATCTATTTTCAATTTGATGAAAGATTATATTATAAGTTATTTGCTTTAATAAATTTTATTAAAAATTTTGTTATATTTTATCAACTAATTTGCTAATATTGCTATAATTACATCTAAATATAATACATCTTA